AATAATAATAATAATAATAATCATATCCCAAAAGATGTGAGTGAGGTTCTTTGACATTAGCTCGTCTTCACTTGCTCAAAGTTAACTAATGAAAACTGAGAAGCCCAGGAAAATAATAATAACAATTAATAACTATAAAAAATACATACATATAATAACCGGGCTCCCATCAATATTTTTTAACCAAACATTCAGGGTAGATTTACATTTACACAAGGGTTCTGCCCGCAGCTTCGCGAGTAGATAAAACTAATGTTTCTATCCATCGGGAGCAGTATTTTTTCTAGAAAAAAAGTATGTCTTCTGACAGTGTATGTACTAACTTTCATGATAGCCTTTCTCGCATTGATGTCCTAAATACGCGTCAAAGATCATCGACGACTACATAAAACTAATTTTTCTACCCCACGGGAACAGTATTTTTTTCCATACAACCGTATCTGAAACTGGTATAATATTCATACATCCGTATCCATATCTAGATCAGAAATTTCGTATCCATAGCATCCCTAATTTGGATTATTTCAAGTTCATTTAAGATGTCGCATTCAATTAGATTCTCCAAACTTTGTGACAACTAATTTTCGTTTTGGGACATTTTGGTATCGAAAAGTGCATGCTCAAAGGGACCCATAATGTGTTTATATTATTTGAAAATCGAAAACTAACCTTATATTAATTAATATAAATCTACCCTGAAAGTTTGGTAATTAATTACTAATTGTTACATATAAATTATTAATGCTATAGAAAAATGATCGTTTCCAACTTTATGCAAAATTGTACCCATCATTTTCAAAATATTCAAATCATCACCACGCATAATCGATTTTATATCATTTCGAACCTTCACGTAGCCACAATTGCTTATGGCATTGGACCCTTCGTAATAATTTTTTAATGTATTTTGGTATATGTATATTTATCACTGATTATAGTAGTATAATATTCCTAATAACATAAATAATAAAAGAAGCACGATAAACAGTTGTAATGTAATTGGACAGCGGATAAAAATTAGCATCAAATTAAAATACTAATTACCGTAATTTTTTACACATTCAACAAGTACCTGTGGTCATATGATAAATGTACATACACAAATGTAAATGTACAACATGAATAGTATTTCATTGAGAAGTAAATTAATAGCTCCGTGTCAGGCGTCAAATCATTTTTTACTCTACAACGACTTTAAAACTACCAGAGGAGAATCAGATGTTTTTAATGTACTTAACACTTTTTATTTCTGGTATTATGCGAGTGTTAATTAATGACACTTTGATACGTAAATCTCTTAATCAATTCTGACAAATGTGAATTTTCGTTTTAGTGGCATAGAAAACGTATTATAGGGTTGAAGTTTAAACATCATTTTCTGTTATGGTTTTAGTCCAGACGGTATCTGTTTTGGATTGAATGAAATGGGTAGATTTTTGTTTAAATCATTTCCAAAAGTCATAGGGAAAGATAGTTTCACTATTCGCACACGTATTTTTCATCAAATTACGGCATATATCTCAGAAACTATTGACTTGGAAGAAAAGTTATAAAGAAAACATTTTATTATGATAAATAATTACACTCAATTTAAGCATGTTTGGGAGGTACAATCGGAGACAAGAGTACATAAAATTAGAAATTCGTGATTAATTAGATTTTGCAGCATTTTGCCAAATTGTAATCCGTTGATTTAGAAAACCTAGAGAATTGTTTAAAGATCTGGCAAATTTTTTTTACGGTTTTACGTATCCACATACTGAAACTTTCTTTTCTTATTACTTTTAGAAGTGATTTCGTCAAAAATTAAACGGATTATAAACATATTAAAATATAAAATAAAGTTATAAATCAATTATTATTATTTGCTTCTGTTAATTAATTTGTAACCAGTGTCTCTTTTGTTTCAGTTCTAGTCAAAAATTTAATGGCAAACCTGGAAAAACAAAGACGGAAAAGTACTGCGTGGGCCGGTACAAGAGATTTCACATTTGTAATATACAGGTAAGTCTGTTATCATAATTTACATCAGATTGTTTCTCTTTCCCTTAAATAGAACGGTCTGTAGGGGTGCTTTTAGGTTTATTGCTTTTATGTCAAATTAAAATGCAAAAATAACTTTAAATTTAGGTCAAGTTTATATATCGTGTTGTCCAATAAGGGTAGCTTATCTCATTATACAGGGTGTCCCATTTATAATAATTAAAAAAAAACATGGCTTCCTGACACAAAATACAACAAAAAAGTGTTATACAATTTTTCAATCCAGTGACAATTGAGCTCGCAAATCGTCTTTGTAAATTTGAACGTACAATTTGTTTCATTACGGGCCTGGATCTAGGCGACCAACGTCGCTCAGCTGATCTAGTGTGGATGTAACAAGTACCT